AATCACCAGCGCCTATTGGAAAGCTCCCAATCTCTACTTGCAATCGGGAGCTTTCTGGTCATGTGACTGCCAATCACGGCGGTCACATGATCATGCATCCTGCCTCCCGGCATCAGAATCCCCTTAAGGGGCCAGGAGATGTTGGCATTAAAGGGGTAAAGGGATGTTAAACCTAAAGTAGAAAATTTTTTATATATTGCTGCTTACTGATCCTTACATGTGGTGGCTGAATTAGTTTTCTTAATTTAGACCATTTCCCCTCTGTTTCCACTTGATCTGGCCAGTAATACACCTTCTGTATTAGTGCCACCACTTTGGATGGAGGAGCACAGGGGCACCCTTGGACAGCTGCATTGTCAATCTGGGGAGGGGAGTGTTAGATGGATTAGCAGCTTTAGATCAAATTAAGCCAAACTCTAGCTCACACTGCAGTTTTACAATCAGTTACAACAACGTGTGTGGTTTGTGCGTAAAGCCCATTCCTTAAAGTGGGGCTGAGCCATGCTTCAATTGTTTAAGGTCCTGATGTTATCAAGAATAATGAAGGGTTCAAAACCATACATTGGACATGATGATGCTGATATAAGTGCCATCTGCTGGGTGGGGGGAGGGGAACTTGAGCTTTAAGGATTTATTAGCATTTACTAAACATTTCTAATTCAAAATTACTTTTGCAAAACTGCTAAATCGATGGGTTTAGTTCTGATTCCTGAAAGATAACCCTAATTAAATTTCTCATTTTGTATTTAATATGTCACAGTAACACTACTTAAATACTTGAATAATTAAAATCTTGCTCATTTTTATTAACCTAGGGATAATAAAATGGGTAATTCCTGCAATCTCATGTTTTCATACTGTCAATCATCTTCATTTTGCTACATCTCGTTACCATATTTTTGTGTTCGCATACTTGCGGGTGAGTAGCTTGAACCAGGCAGGTCACTAAGTGTGTATGTGTGTGTGTATATATATATCATGTTTGTATTGTTGCAACTATCAAAAAAATGTGTGCAACATATGATCCTTACACCAGGCCAGGACATCTCACACCTTGCTTAGATAACCCAACCTCTGTGCCAGAAGTGAAGAAGAGTCCAATAGACTTGTTTTAATTTTACAAAACTGAACAAGCCCCAAATTAAACTATGTATTTCTCCTGACCCAGGACTAGTCCGTATTAATGTCACCATAAGGCCCCATGCACACAGGGTGTTTTTGCAGCCACTTTTAGGGGCGTCAGGCGTTTTTTCCTCCAGGAGCAGCAACATTTTGGCAGAAAAAACTCTACATGTGTCTAAACGCTAGTAGCGTTTGAGCATTAATTAATTTCAATGGCTAGAATAAATTATCATTCTGGCCAATTAAATGAATCAATGCCCAAGTGCTTGATGCTTGTAAACATGTCTAAACGCTTGTAAAACATTAGATACTTTTACATGTGTCAGGTGTTTTTTTCTGCAAAACCGCTGCTGCCAGAGGACAGCTTCTAGGAGAGTTTAACGTCGTGTGTGCATGAGGCCTAAATGTAAACTGGCTCCTCTCAGTTGTCTACAGAGCTTTACGGATCCCTCTCATATAGCTCACAGCTTACCTGTTAATTATAGCTATTTGATATTCTTTGCTCGAATTTAAAGCTATAACATAGCAGCTTTATATACCTCTGAGAGAAATTTTCACTGCAGAGACTTTTCAAATGGTTTAAGTGCTCTGGGTACCACTTGAGCAAATGTCCCCTGCCGCCTCTAAGACAAAGAACTAAGCAATCAAAGACTGCTGATTGCTCAGTTCTCGGTTTTCAGTGAGCACAGAGCACTGTTTGTCAGTTACCAAGACTTTGCTCTGCCCCTTCAGTGCTCACTGGAGCACTGGGCTGTGGAGGGGGTGGGAGAGGCTGCCTCAGGGGCTACCTTTTTAGGCTCTCATTTTCCACACCTCAAAATCAAAGCCTTTTTATTAAGTGTTCTTGCATGGCAAGACCACTTACTGTTATCTCACATATTTATTCTTATTATTATAGCCAAATTTACCACCCCAACTCCTACCACAGTTTTTGCACTACATAGACAGTAATATACCGAAACGTGCGGATTGTTCCCGATTTGGTGTGCTATTACTTTGTGGAACGTTTCGCCGAATGATTTACGAAATATCGGCGTTTTGTGGTGAAATTGGTCCAATAGGAATGAATGGCGGACTGTTCAAAACTAGAGTGGGAGCTGACAAAAGCTAGAGTGTGAGCAGAAAAATCAGGACATGATTGCTAAACTGCCATCACTCCCTCATTTTCAAGCCCACTTACACAAATCTTATATCAAAACGTTCAGCTATCCCTGCTGCCACTAAAAATGTCCACAGCTAAGCCATAGTCCTGATAGTTTTCACAATATGACCATTTGTTTGCAACTCATGCCGCCCATTGACATTCATTGAAACTGCACTCTAGCCACCTCAAATTTGAAGGGCAATTTCTAAACTGCGACTGTGCGTTCATTTTTAATATTTCAGAGACATACTATGCATCAAAATGTAGGTCTGAGTCTTGTGATTCTCACAATGTAAAGCTCTTCCGTGTAGGATATATAGTTTTTAAAACTATGACCATTTGAAGATGCCAGTGAAGTGAGCAAGTTGGAGCAGTTTGTTTTTAACCGCTCTTCTCTGCCCTATTTGAAATCTAATGTTGAATTTGTGACAGTTTGGCCGGCTTCTGGTTAAAGGTTTGGAAATATGTTTTCTACAGTAGAGCGTATTTGAGGTGATAATGCTGCTAATGTTTTTATAAATGTATGTTTTAATGTAACTGTGAAGCACTTTGGGCAACAACATTGCAATTAAATGTGCTATATAACTAATTAAAAGTTGAAATGCATTTCTCACTCTATCAAGCTTGCCATGTGCACTTTTTAAATTTGATCAGTCAATTGGTTAGTGTAATGTTTACTATCTTTACTCAGTCCAAACACTCCACACAGTTACTCTGCCCATTCCATAAAGTTACTCTGCCCAGACCAACCTTTTCACAGTTACTCCATCCACTCCAACCACACAACAGTTACTCAAGCCACTCCACCCAGTTACTCCGCCCACTCCAGTTGTAGACTAAGACCAACCTTTTCACAGTTACTCCATCCACTCCAACCACACAACAGTTACTCAAGCCACTCCACCCAGTTACTCCGCCCACTCCAGTTGTAGACTACTGGTGGAGGCAAGAACACTTCACACAATTTCCCTAGAAATTGTAGCTTTTCTAGTTATTTCTAACAGTATTGGGCATTCAGGTAATCCTTCTAACAAGTCTATGAGGAGAATTAATGAAGACTAGAGCTAACAGAATATGGAGTTTCTGTAAATGGCAACCAATCCGCTTCTATCTTTAATTTACAAAGCTTAAAGTGGCTGCTCTTTTGAAAACCACTGCACACAGTAGGCAAGTATTGACATGTTTGTTATTTTACAAAAAAAAAAATGAACCTTTTAGAATGGCTTTAACTGAAGAAGCTGAAGTTAGAAGCTGATTGTTTACTACACACTACTGCTCCAGATTCTTTTTGCTCCAGGCTTAGTAATTCCCTCTTTGATTGTCATTTGATACTTTATTTTTTTGGTCACTGGTTTTAGATATCAGGCTTATATCTGTAACATTTTCTTCCATACATATAGATTGGAAATTCCTAAACACTATTTAATTAAAGCACAGGTGTAATACGCAATTCCCCCATAAAAAGACAGATATTGGTTTTCAAAGTGTAGCATTTCAATTAAGATTATTATCACTTTTTGCAGTTCTAAAGTCTTTTGTAAAGGCCAATTTTGCTCTCATGACAAATTATAGGATTTCCCTTACTTTCTGCCTTAGGGAGAGCGGTTATTGGGACCAATAGTGGGATAAACCTCCTTGTTGAAAACACTTGGCAAATGCTCTAGTCTAACCCTTCCCCACTCTATCTAAAACTAAAAACTGCCATCCAAATGGGGAGTTTTTGACACCCACCAAATTTCTTTGTAGCAGTGACCAAAGAAGTGTGCTAAACTGAGCTGAGCCTCATTATTTATCTGCAGGCATCTAATTCCTAATAGGAAAGGAAATGATAATGAGACTGGTACCCAAAATTTTAAACACAACTGTCGGGGGCTATTCAAAATGATCAAATAAACCTAATTTTGAAAAGTCAGTGTTTTCTGTTTTCGTAATATTGAATGTATTCATTTTCAATGTGATTTTAGTGTAAAGTTTGCAAGAGAAAAAAAAGTAACTGAAGATTTTTACAATACAACACTCAAACAATAGTAGCATCTTGCCTACTAGACAACAAGTAAGACATCAAGACCCAGCACAAGTGTCCCCTCAATACTCTGTAAAGGCTAAATCATCCAAGAAACTGTAACAATAAATGATCCAAGCCTTAAAGGATAAATTCATCTTTGGGAACGTGTTACAAATTTTACCAGTTTTAGGATGTAACATGTTCCCAATTCTCCAGCCGCTGCCCAATTCCCCCCCCCCCTTCCCAAATACAAGTTGTCACTTCTTCAATAGAGCGCGGCTGTGCAGGGCTCTGCCTACACGGCCACGTCATTCATTTACAGAGTTCTGTGAAAGAATGTACTACAAGTCTCACCAGCCATAGTGGGCAAGCAGATGCACTGAAAGGTCTGCAGAAGACCTGCATGGCACCAGCGATCTGCTGATCGCTGGTGCAATGCTTTACAGGCTCTTGCAACCAAAAATAATAAATTCACATTTATTTACCTGCAAAAAAAATTTGATTTTTATTATTTTGGGTAAAAAGGCGAAATTATTCTTTAAGCTGTCTGTGTGACCTTAACATGAGACATCTCTCTGGTGGGCTAATTGAAAGAGCATGTGCAGTTTGTATAGCCAAGTTCATTAAAACTTTGCATATTGTTTGACTGCTATGAATGCATGTTTCCTCCAGTTACAGGTTTTTTATTGTTTTGACAAATACCTTCCATTTTTTTCCCTTTCTATATAGTATTACAAATGTGGAGTCCAGTTTGCAGTTGTAACTTTGGGAACGCTTGGAGCTTATACAGCATTTACCATTGGAGTCACGCAGTGGAGGTAATTTTAATCTGTTTAAGTGTTGGAGTGTGCTGTCCATCCCTTACACAAGATTTTTTTGGTCTATTATACCTTTTAATTCATACCTTTGGGGGTCATGTTGGCAAACATACATACTGTAAAATATTACATTGCTCTTTACCTGGCATTCATCTTCTATATGCAAAGTTAGCAATTAACATTACAGTTTGTATTATGTCACACAAGTTATAGACAGGAATTTGAAAACACGAATATACATGTTGATAAATCTGCAGTCAGCTGCAATGCATCCTGGGACAGACTGCCTGGCATCCCGCCTGGGTGCTTCCATCAGAGAACTGCTTCCTTGCTGCTGGGACACAGGACTAAGGTATTATAACTGGGCATTGCACCCAAGAACTAGACAACACTATCTTAGGTGCAACTGGAACTGTTTATTGAACAGAAATACAGGTTTTTATACACTTCAGTATTAGGGGCAGTCCCCACATGAGCAAAAAAAAAAAGCAGTGTTCCAGGCTTTAGGCAGTCGAATGATTAGCAACAACGTTTTGAAAATTATAATCTCTTTAATAATGATCATGTCTGTTTATTCAGTTACTTCTGAACTCCTGAAAATGGGCAGACTATATATCATAGAGGCTGTAATTCTTAAAGTGTTACTAAACCCAGAACAGTAAAATCGGTCTGTATATGTAGTAAAGCATGTTTGTTATACTGGCTGTGAAACCTAAGGGGTTAATTATCCGCATTATGTAAAAAGCCTGTTTGATCCTGTCTTCTCTGATCCTCCCCTTTTTCCACAGTCCCCAATCCATCTTGTGATAGTACAGAGTCCTAGGAGACAATCTGCGCATGCTCAGTTTTGGGTGTATTGCTAGAGAGGTTTTTTTTTTCCCCCAGAGGGTGCATGTGATCAGCACAGGGCCAATTACCACTGTCCAGACAGAAGGTCAGGTATTAAGCAGCCTCATAGGACAGTCAGAGGAGAATGAAAACCCCTCCTACAACATTAACTAGTGCTCAGCCAGACACTGATAGAAGTTGCAAGACTTCTATATACTTCTGATGAGAAAAGGTATTTAGTAGTTATATTTTCTAAATTAATTGCATTTCCATGTTATGTGTACTGTGGGAGACCAAACATAGTAACACTTTAAAGGGTTCATACAATATTTTTGGTACAGCTAAAATTCTATACTTCAAATCACATCTTGATTGCATAATTTGAAATTTTAATGCAGTGGTATACAAAGCCAAAATTATGCAAGTTGTGTCACTTTCCAAATACTTATGGACATGAAGGTTAAGTTCACCTTTTTGTTTATACACTGTGTATAGCTGTCTGCCCATACAGGTGGACAGTTACTGAATTGCAGGAGGAGTCTCCTATCGGCGCTCTCGCAGTTCATTGAGAACTACGAGCCGTCGGCCACGGTGGCAGACGGGACTTGTAGTTCATTCATTCACAGAACTCTGTGAATAAATGGTGCAGCTGTGTGGGTGGAGCCCCACACAGCCATGCTGTTTTTAATTTGTGACAGCAGGTGCGGGGAGAGGATTCCCTGCCCGCAGTCACAGCAGGTGATCAGGGGGTGCAGGGACTGGAGCACAGTAACATGTTACACCCTATATACAGCTGTGATATGTTACAAAAGGTCAACTTATCCTTTAACTGTAAATGTGGCTGGAATATAGTGTTTGTACATTTTTGGTGTATCAAGTAAACTATATAGCATTTACTTTATTAAACCTGAAATCCATCAAAGTATCAGACACAAAGGGGCAGATTACTAAAACTGTTTAACACAGAATTTGGTGCAGCTATGCATAGTAACCAATCAACTTCTAAGTTCAGCTTGTTCAATTATGCTGTAACAATAAAACCTGGAAGCTGATTGGTTACTATGCACAGCTGCAGCAGCAGTTTCTGTGTGCACAGTTTTAGTAAATCTCCCCCAAAGCCTCCATGTTTGTCTTACCCAGGGGTGGGCAACTGTGGCCCTCCAGCTGTTGTAGAACTACAAGTTCCATGAGGCATTGCAAAACTGACAGTTACAAGCATGACTCCCAAAGGCAGAGGCATGATGGGACTTGTAGTTCACCAACAGCTGGAGGACCACAGTTGCCCACCCCTGGTCTTACCTATACTTTCCATTACAGCAGTTGTGCAAGCTCTTTAAATATGGCTATGCAGTCCAGTGGATACCAGTGTTCCAACCAGTGTGTTCTGTTTTAGTGAGGGCATTAGGGGTGTGAGACGTTACCCAGCTATGCCAGCACAAACCACTGGAGTGGGAGAGCAAGAAACAACAATTTCTCTAAAAGAAAAGAATATTCCAAGACCTTTATAAGCAAAAAATCAGCTACAAATCAAATCATAACATGCCTGGGTGTGAGATTTAGGTCATTGGAATTTAACCTCCCTGGCGGTATTCCCGAGTGTAGCTCGGGGTAACATTTCAGTACCAAAAGCGGTAACCCCGAGCTACACTCGGGAATACCATGCGGCGCTGCTCCGGCATGTGTTCTTCACTTACCTTACCCTTTGCTCCCACGATGTGTCCCCTGCAGCGTCCCCGGCCATCTCCTCCGGCCGATGCCGGCATCCGGCTTCTGTGTCCTGTCCCTGTGACGTCGGGACGTACGGGCGCCGCCGCCGCCGGCGGCGGGAAATTTAAAAATTTTAAAAAATGTCATTTTTTTTTTTTTCATTTTACACAGTAAAACATTGCTGTTTCAACCTATTTCACATACATATTGTCCCTAGTGCTTTGTCCTGCGCCCTGCCTGCATTTTGTCTGTTCTTTCTGCCTGGAAACTGAGAAATGTCCATGGCGTCCAAAAAGTGTCCCTTTAGGTCAAAAGCGGTTTAGATCAGCTAGAGAACAGCGATAGTAAATCAGAACCACTTACAGAATTGAGTGATAATGATTCGTGGGGGAAATTCGTCATCAGAAACTGAAAACGATTTTGCGACTGAGCTCAGCAATGTGCGAACTTGGCGCTATATTTCACATTTCAGTGTTTTTGGTTTGATTATATTATTGAATTTAATTTTTTATTATTTTTTATATTATTTTTATGATTATTTATTAAATTATAATTTATGATTTTGTGTTTCAAATTTTATCATACCCGGGATGTTTACTAGACTCTTGTTCGGACAGATTTCAGTGAGTTTTTCCTAAAAATTACAGCCTACAATAAAAAAAATACATATTTCCATGCAAAAAAATGGTACCGCTTTCAGCACCAAAAATCTGAAATAATCATACCGCCAGGGAGGTTAAGGCACACCTTTCACTGAATAGGGAAGCTGCCTTTGGTGACTACGCTCTAAGAACATTAGTTGCTGGGCTGTCTCTAGCTCCAGTACTTAACTATAATATTCCAGTCCACTTGTTCTGAGTTGGTGATTAATCAAAACTTCTAACCTATATAGTGTTTTCAAGTCTGTAGTGCTGTAGTATTAAAAACACTGAAAGCATTGTGTCAGTGACAAGAAAGCATTGGTGCTGTGGTATTGAAAACACTGAAAGCATGAAAAATCTGGCAACTAGCATTTTGAGAAGGTGAGGACCGCAATGGCAGCCAGTAAATTATTATTATTCAGGATTTATATACTGTAGCGCCAACAGTTTGCACAGTGCTTTACAACATGAGGGCAGACAGTACAGTTCAATACAGGAGAATCAGAGGACACGTTTCCTTTAAAAAATATAACTTGAATGTCCCTAAATTGCATTACTGATGTGCTGTTTTGCCCAATACTTTCATAGGACAAAGTTCAGAATAGAAATGAACAAGGCTGATAATGAAGCTGGAAATGCTGCTATAGATTCACTTCTCAATTATGAAACCGTTAAGGTAAGAACAATTTGTTTGTAGAATCCTGTTCCTTTTTCAATTTTATGGCACGCTCAGGGAATACTGTGTTTACTTTTGTGTTCATGTTCAGAGAAACATGTAGCTGATTTACTGTGTCAGTGTGAAACTACACCGCCTCAGTGATATTTGCTTCTCTGACACTCCCCACCTCTCCTTCTATGACAGGTGGCACCAAAACACATGGTGTAGTCTGTTGTCAAACCTAGAGGAAGTGGTGTCATCAGCTTTCCTCCCCCTAAGTGTTAAAGCTCAGAGGGAGCAGTGTCCTCACCCGCTCCAACCCCTAGAACAGTGCATTTTGGGGAGGGGGGGGGGTCCACACACTTTCCTACACTGATAAGCATGAATCTGAAAGACACATCAACAGTTCAATGGTAAACACGCAGAATGTGCACTAAAAAAAATGTACTAATAGCTTTCCCTTAATGGTAAACATCATGCTACCTTTGTTAGTAATGTTATAAATTCCTGTACAACACCAGCCCAGTAATTATGGTTCAGCTGAGAAATCTGAGATGTGAAGGACAACTGTCACAAATGTGATACTTTTTTAAATTTTTTTAACAAACGTGCAGCCCTCCCATTTTTGCCACAATTTGGCTGCACCGACAGTTCTGATTGGCCCCAGATGCCAGATGTGCTAGGTGTCCAGGGAACTTTTACTTAATTGCTAGGAGTTGCGGCTCTTGGGATTAATGTGTGTGCACAGTAAGGTATTTAAAGGCCTTCTCTGTGTGGGGTGGATTAGCAAGCAGGCTGCCATGTGCAGCTTATTGGAAACACTGAGGCAATAAGGTGTGGCCCTGTCAGGCAGGCTGTATAGGGCCCAACAATTTCTAATGGCAGCCCTGCTTACCTGGCTGTTAACCAGAAGGAAGGTTCTGTGTAATCATCAAAATGCTAATGGTACTGTTCCCAGGATTTATTTTCAAAGGAACTTCTGCCATCTGTGCCTGACTGTTGGCCCATAGCTGTAATGAACGGCCTCACCAATAGTCAAAAGGTGCAGGACAGAGTGCTGCATGGTCTCAGAGATCTGGTCTGGTCCAAGACCATCTTGAATTTTGGGGCACTTTGGTTTTCTACACGGTGTGTAAGTATGAATATGGTGATTTTCTAAAAAGCTGTTGTTTTTCTGTCTCTTCTAAAGTAGCCACATTATGATAAATGGATATGACGGACCATTCATATTGATTAATAGATGGATAATTTTTGGACCATGTTTACCATCTGTGCTTCATAATAATTCACTGTTTTTAATCAACAATATATGAGCAATGAGAGCAGATTGCACACCATGTATACTTAACGTTTACATCAGTTAGGTCAATAACTAATTGGCTGTGAAAAACTTTTAGCTAGTGTATGTTTAACTTGTCTGGTGTTGCTTTTTTTTTTTAAATTGTGTGGAATTCTTAATTTTGTTGCAGTACTTCAACAATGAGAAATATGAAGCAGAGCGGTATGATAGTTTTTTGAAAATATATGAAAATTCCTCTCTGAAGACTACCTCAACACTAGCCATGCTGAACTTTGGACAAAGTGTAATCTTTAGTATGGGCCTGACAGCTGTCATGGTGCTTGCCAGCAAAGGAATCCTTGCAGGTTGGATAACACTAGATTGATCATACAAATGTACTCCTTTTCTCTATAGAAAATATTAAAAATATAATGTACTGGCTTGTATAGCATATATGTTAGGTATCCAAAAGAACTTGATTTCAAAGGTGCAAGTTCTGATATTATCGTCCTCATCCGTTATTGCTTAATGAGAATAAGCATGTGCATGTAGGGGTTAGTGTATGACTAACTGGGAGAAAACAGGAAATAAAATGTATTCTGGGGCCCCAGTCTTGTTTAACAAAATACAGTCAAAAAATAAAAAAGAAATGTTAATTATAACAGGTGCCTGATGGATGATATATGTGCACATAGCATTAAAATAAAAGTATCCGAATAAATAAGATTGACTAATAATGTGTCCATACAGGCAATGGTATTCAAGGGTATTCAAAGGTTATCCTAAAGTAACATCTAATAAAATATGCTGATGTTTAAAGTGCAGGAAACGTTCTGAACATCACAACAAGAATGTTCCTGTTAAATGCTGGTCATGTGTGAATACTAGGAATGAACTTCTGGCTCAGATGAACCCATGTTTGGTGAATGGTCGAATTAAATTAAACATTTTACAGCAGTATTACTACAACCGTTGCTAAGTGTGACAGCTCAGGCAGGTTATTAGGGAGTTGGGTAAACACGCAGTCATTTTCAATCCCAATGACTGCTTGCTGTGAATGTCATCTCCCAGGTGATGTCATTTTTCAAATGTGGTTATGTCCATATCTAGTCAATGATGTTGCCACTTTGTTTACATTTACCTGATAGAAAGCTGTCAGTTGCAGTGAGCAGTTGTCTGGAGTGGATTGTGTCTGTGGATGGCGTGTCTTTTCTTTCAGTGGACTTCACTCATAATGATTTACGCAGATCTTTTGTTTTTTTTTTTTGTAAAATACTTGTCACATTTCTTTGCCTTGTGTGTCTGTCTGTCTGTGTCTTTGTATGAGTAGGGGTACTTCCCCCTTATTCATGGAGGAACTGGATATCTTGGCTCCCCCTTATTTTAAAGGGGGCTTCCAGAGCCTAATCAGTCTGCCGCCTGCATGCAAACCCCCACGACCACTGGGCCAAGGTTTGTGGGGTAAAGGCCCTTGTCTTCATCAACATACAGTAAGGTCTTCCCTAGCAAAGTATCCTTCCCATGTTGAGGGCATGTGACCTGGTATGGTTCAAGAGGTGCGGCTCACCTTCAAAAGAAGAGGCAATGAACTGTCATTTACCAGCAATTTAAATTGCATTGTTTTGCTTTGTAAATGTCACTTTTGCTGTAGTAGGTTGTATATATCATACAGATGCCAGACTTCACAAGCAGGTTCTGGGAAGCCCATCAAAAATGCTGTTAGATTTGGGTGGAGTATATCACTGAAGATTGATAATGAAAAATTTTGAAAGATAAATTGGAAATTTAGCAGTAGTATTTTCATGTACTGGACATTTATTTTGTGCTTCTTTAGGCACATCTTTTGTATGTTACATATAATGAAATTATTTTGTATACAGTTAGGTCCATATATATTTAGACACAGGCACAATTTTAGTTTTTTTTCAGGTATTTACCAAAACATATTCAATCTATAGTTATATAATTGGATATGGGCTGAACGTGCACACTCTCAGGTTTAATTTGAGGGTAAGTACATCCAAATTGGAGAATTGGGTTTAGGAATTACAGCTCTTAAGATTAGCCACCCCCCCCCTTTTCAAGGGACCAAAAGTAATTGGACAATTGAATCAAAATCTGTTTCATGGCCAGGTGTGGGCTACTCCTTCGTTATTTCTTCATCAATTAAGCAGGTTAAAGGTCTGGCGTTGATTCTAAGTGTAGTATTATGCGTTAAAAGGAGCTGCCCATGCAAGTGAAACAGGCCATTGTAAGGCTTCAAAAACTAAACAAATCCATCAGAGAGATAGCAGCAACATTAGGAGTGGTCAAATCAACAGTTTGGTACCTTCAGAGGAAAGTAGAATGCACTGGTAAGCTCAGCAACATAAAAAGGCATGGACGTCCACGTAAGACAAAAGTGGTGGATGATCGCAAGATCCTCTCTATGATAAAGAAAAACCCACTCACAACATCCAGACAAGTGAAGGACACTCTCCAGGAGGTGGGCGTATCATTGTCAAAGTCTACAATCAAGAAGACTTCACGAGAGCAAATACAGAGGGGTTTTACCACAAGGTGCAAACCATTCATAAGCCTGAAGAATAGAAAAGCCAGATTAGACTTTGCCAAAAAACATCTAAAAAAGCCAGACCAGTTCTGAAAAAGCATTCTTTGGACGGATGAAACTAAGATTAATCTGTACCAGAATAACGGAAAGAAAGTGTGGAGAAGGCTTGGAACAGCTCATGATCCAAAGCACACAACGTCATCTGCAAAACATGGTGGAGGCAGTGTGATAGCATGGGCATGCATGGCTTCTAGCGGCACTGGGTCATTGGTGCTTATTGATGATGTGACAGAAGCAGCCGGATGAATTCTGCAGTGTTTAGAGAGATACTGTCAGCCCAGATTCAGCCAAATGCAGCAAAGTTGATTGGATGCGTCACAGTACAGATGGACAATGATCCAAAACACACTGCAAATGCACCCCAGGAGCTTTTGAAGGAAAAGAAGTAGAATATTCTGCAATGGCTGAGTCAGTCACCTGATCTCAACCTATTTGAGCATTCATTTCACTTGCTGAAGGCAAAACTAAAGGCAGAAAGACCCACAAAGAACAACTGAAGACAGCTGTTAGAGCCTGGCAAATCATCAGAAAGGAGGAAACCCAGTCTTTGGTAATGTCCATGGGTTCCAGACTTCAGGCAGTCATTGACAGTAAAGGATTCTCAGCAAAATATTAAAAAATTAACATTTTATTTATGATTATATTCATTTGTCCATCTATATCTGATCCCCTGAAAATGGATGGACTGTGTGTATAAAAATGGTTCCAGTTCCTAAAATTTGTACTTGATATTTATGTTCAGCCCCTTGAATTAAAGCTGAAAGTCTGCACTTCAAATTCATTTGGATTGTTTCTTTTTAATTTATTGTGATGGCATACAAAGCCAAAAGTATGAAAATTGTGCCTGTGACCAAATATATATGGACCTAACTGTGTAGTATATATGACGATATAGTAGATTGCCGCACTTTTTGTATACACTTATAAGTACATAGGACTTAGTCATAACCAATGGATTTATATGACAGCTGTCTTCTGATTGGACACTGCCAACATACTTGCTAGGGATGCCCCTAGTACACACTCCTATAACCCCACCCACACCATGAGATTTCCAGTTTTTTGCTAGTTTCCTTAAGTGACGGACCTGTATTCCTCTGGAGAAATATGTTTCTTTTTTCATACTTTTCAATTTTTTTTCTTCCACTACGTCTAGCAAGATCTGACTGCTTATTGCCCTGTGCTCTAGCAGTTTCCAGATTGGTTACCTTCATTGGGGACCATAACCGGATCCCGCTGTGTGGGGCCAACCTCCTGGCTTAAGCATTTCAGTCTGTCTTTTCCATTTAAAATGCGCACAGTTTGTTGCTGCACTGCTGCTGCCATCTTCTGCAGAGTGGCAGCCACAGGAACATGGTCAGAGCCTGGGTTATTGCAGCACCTGTGTCAAGACACAAAAAACCCCATCCAGTCCATACTCTATTTCATCAGTACCCCACTGGGGATCCCCTCAGTTAGCTATGATCGATCACAGGCACAAGGGAGCTGGGACAAAAGGGCCAAATAACATGCAATCTGCAGATGGCATACAAAGTCAAAACACTGCACAAGTTGATATCTGTTCCCTTGTTCTTGAGCAATGTCCTAATATGACCCTTCTCCCCTCACCTGACACTAGCTTCCTCTCATGTATGCACCATGTGGCCTGTCTGACAAAAGAAAATATTTCTCTGTCACTAAATCTCAAAAACTTTGAGAGCTTCTATGACCTTTGGTTTCCAGAGGCCAAAAAGCTACACATCCTACATTCCCCCTGATCCTGTTCAGGAAACAGAGGCAGAACCTCCTTAACCTGAGGATTATGGTATAAAGTATCAAGGACCTTAATTTTGTAGCAGAGACTGCAGATGATTTTACTCCCTCTGCATTTTATGGGTGCAAGCTACGGTTTTGTGCCACATGCTCTCTCCTGTGGACATAATTGTTGCAGTATGCTCTAGTCTTTGCTCAACAGCACCTGACTCTTCACAGTCAAAAGAAGCCTCTGTGCGCACTAACTCCAGTATTCACTCCTCCCAAGACGTTTGCTGAGGTTTATACTATGGAAATAGGTTTTAAGAAGAAACTGACTGCTCTGGTAGTGAATCCTGCTATTTTAATCCACCATAAACACATTCTAGTTCCTATTGAGGATGTTCCCACTTTTATGGATTTTGTTTATACATGTTTTGAAGTGCTCTTAAAGGCCTTATTTACTTACTGGTCTAAACCTACAGCCAGCAATTGCTATACTATTGCTAACTGGACAAGACAATAGAAACCAGGAATGTGGTCTTGATGACCCTACTCTCTTAAAATAATTGCAGCTGATGCACTCAGCCTCATTGTTTTTGTGTTGATGTTTTAGAGATTGCAGTTCACCAAGTCTTCCAGAATGTCCCTCATCTCTGTGCATATGCATAGGATTTTGTGGCTTAAAGCTGTTTGCAGAACCTGCTTGCTAGAAACCTCTAATATACATGCCTTTTAATGGTGAACACCTATTCGAAGAATACCTATATTAATTATGGAAAGGTGCTCCTATACCACAAGAAAAAGCCTAAATCTCCTACTTCTTTGGCTGCTATTTCTGCTCAAAGAAAGGGATCTTTTTGCTTTTCCCAAGCATCCACCTCTATCTTTACCCCCTCCTTACTTTTTTACCTTCCAATCTGCCAGATTCAGTCCAAAAGAAAGCAGAATTAATGACTTCCTTGCAAGAACTTCAGGCACAAGGAGTGGTTGTATAAATTCCTTCAGAAGAACAGCTTCAGGGTTTCTATTCAAACCTATTCATAATCCCAAAACCAAATGGGGGCTCCCACTCTATACTGAACTTAAAATCTCTAAACAGATTTCTTTGTGTATCAATATTCCAGGTGGATTCCGTAAGATCTGCCATTGTGTTTTTTTTCTTTAGAGGAGAATTCCAGGCATCAGTAGACATACAAGATGCCTATATACACATTCCCATCTTCTCCTTACATCAACACTTTCTGGAGTTGATTTACTAAAGGCAAATAGGCTGTGCAACATACAAGGTGCAGTTGCACTCTGCAAGTGCAATTGCTCCAGACCTTTGTAAATGAGATAAAGATTCACTTTGCAAGGAAGATCCAATTACATGCAAGGAAAATTGAAAAAAAAGCACTTCTGCTTGCACATGATTGGATGATGAAAATCAGCAGAGCTTCTGCTTATTTATTAAGCTCTGGAGCAACTGCTCTTTCAGAGTGCAAATGCACTTTGCAAAGTGCACAGTCTATTTGCCTTTAGTAAATCAACCCCTCTATGTTTTGCTGTGGAAGACCAACACTTTCATTTTATAGCACTGCGTTCCAGTTGCACCCAGAGTGCTATAAAAGTGCTTGTCCCACTTCTGGCTCTTCTGTGGACCCAGAGCATTCATATCACAGGCTATCTACGTGATCTCTTACTGAAGAACTTCTCAGCCAAAACCTTATGTGCTGGCATCCAGAGGACAATTCAATTCCTTCAAACCCTTGACTGGATAATCAACTTTCCAAAGTCTGCTTCCCAACCCTCACACTGTCTGGAGCACCTCGGTATAATCTTGGGAATATCCCAAGCCAGAATCTTCCTTCCCCAGGATAAAGTTGCAGACCCCTAGTTTGCCTGGATTGTCCAGTGCTTCTATCCAGCCAGATAAAGCTCTCTATGGCATGGTGGATCATCAGTTCTTCCCTGGAATTGAAAGGATCATTCCTTAACATGCCCTGGAGGATGGCGACAACAGAAGCCAGCCTTACTGGCTGAGCTTACGTTTACAACTCCCTGAATGTCCAGAGAACATGTCCCTGGAGAAGTCAAAACTCCCCATTAACATTCTGGATCAGAGCGCTATCAGATTATCTCTACAGCAGTGTACCTCTCTTCTGTAATGTCAGGGTATAGTTAGAGAATGACACAGCAGTGGCCTACATAAACCATCAGTGGGGCACCAGAAGTTGAGCTGCCCTGAGAGAAAGAAGTTGCTACTTTCCTGGGCAGAAACCTACATTTCAGGTGTCTCCGCTGTTCTTGTACCTGGAGTAGACAATGTCAGGTGGACTTCCTAGGCCGCCAATGCCTAGACCCAGGGGATCGGTCTTTGCCCTCTGAGATCTTTAAAAATCTCCCAAAGGTGGGGAAATCAAGATATAGAAATCCTTTTTTCTGGGTTCTATATCAAGCTGAACAAATTCATAGCCAAAACCAGGGATCCTTTAGCGTTTGCTGCAGATGCTCTGGTGATTCCTTGAACTTAGTTCAAACTGTCTTCCCTCTGATGAAGATCCTACCTCAAATGCTGCTTAAGATAAAAGAATAAAGGATCCTGGTGATTCTCATTGCAATAAATTGACCCACAATGATTTGGTACACAAATATATTCAGACTTCTGGCATATAAACCTTGGCCTCTTCCAGACAGACCAGCCTTACTGGCCAAAGGCCCCCTATTCCATTCTGGCTCTAATTTACTAGCTTTAACAGCATGGCTTTTGGAAACCTAACTCCTAAAAATAGGGGCATTTTTGTCTCTTATTCACATCTTACTCAGAACAAGAAATCCAACTCCTTATCTTGTAAAGGAAAGGTGTGTATACTTACCTGTTCTAAAGCTGCTTCTGTCAGGTCACATGATGTTCCCAGCAGCCAGCTTTAGTGAAACGGATAGATTGTGGACAATGGCTGCAGTGCGTGGGCAGTATTGTTACCCATGGGCTTACTATGGAGCATCCATTTTTGGCTATCTTTCCTCTACACTGAAACTGGTGCTGGGAACCGATCATGTGACTGAACCAGAGTGCCCTCAGAATAGGCAAGTATAGACTCTTTCCTTTAGAACAGTGGTCTCCAATATGCAGCCGGGGGGCCAGATGCTGCCCTTTGCTTGCCTCTATCTGGTCCCTAGGACAGTATTCCTCCAACTGACACTAATGATGGGGCCTTATTCCTCCCACTGACACCATTAATGAAGCACTATTTCTCCCACTGTCACCATCCTTCCACTGATTCCAACCATGATGCACTCTTCCTCCTGCTAAAAGCAACAGTGGGACACTATTCCTCCTGGTAAAGCTAATGATGGGGCATTATTTACTCCCACTGACGCCAGAACATTTTCTACTCACACTGGCCACAATCCGCCCCCCCTAAAGCCTTAAAGACAGTAAACTGGCCCTTTGTTTAAAACATTTGGAGACCCCCTGTTTTAAAGGGTAGTTAGGGTAGTTGGTACAGGGTTCAGAATGAGGGTGGAAGCAGGTTTAAGCTTAGATAGTATTTGACTGGACTTCTACTTTATGGATTTCCCAGAATCCTACTACATATTCACCTATTTTGTGAGAGACTTTGGACAGTCTGGACTCTTATTAGTTTGTATTCTTTTTTTATTTGGACGCTGATAGTTATAGTTTGAATATATATATATATATATATATATATATATATATACACACATATACACACTGTACGTACTTTTTTGAACATGTATGCATAATGCTATTCGCTCTCTTTAGGAAACCTAACTATTGGGGACTTGGTTATGGTAAACGGGCTACTGTTCCAGCTTTCAATGCCCTTGAACTTCCTAGGAACGGTCTACAGAGAGACAAGACAAGCTCTAATTGATATGAACACACTCTTCACTCTTCTGAGTATAGACACAAAAATTAAGGTAATTCTTCCTAGGTTTAATTTGTCTTGATTAGGAGTTGATTTACATGTGTAATATTGCTTAAAGCAGTGGATGGGCTCAAGCAAAAGTTTCATTTTGTGCACTGACGCTGCGTACACCTGCCAGCAACCATTCATCTCTATGGATAGCTGTAAATAGCACTGGGAGCTCCTGGGCACAAAAAATACACTAGATTGTTTGCGCTGTACTAAAGAGTGCACCCATGTGCATACGCCCTAAGCCTTATAGTAGGTTTGATCTTATTCAGATACAACTTTTGGGATGTAAACACTGCATTATCTTCTAATACTGGAATTGTGGGTTATGGGATGCGGAGCAGTTGTAAAGCTCACACTTACATGACATTCTTAATGTGTGCTTACGGAAAAAGCTGCCACAAATAAAACCTCTTATTTATAACTTTGTTTATTCTGTTTGCCAGGACCTTAGCCAGTATTTTCACATCTGATTGTAAGAGCAAACTAGGTCTGTACAAGTTGGGATTAGTGGGATTTATAATGGGTTTTAATAACCGTGTTATATTGGCTCTTGTCAAAGATGGTAGAAGGTGTTGCTGCTTCCAGAAGCTCCAAAAGCTGTGGTAACATACACTATATTCTGCATAAAATTTATAAATGCATCATCCCCAGGGGCTTTATGATTAGGGGAGTATTTGGTTGCTGTCTGTATTTCCTCTATAGTAGTGGGCAATCTAATAGTGTTTGGTGTGCTCAGATAGTAATGGTAAGACTAGAAAAGCTACAATTTCTGGGGAAATTGTGTGAAGTGTTCTTGTCTCCACCAGTAGTCTACAGCTCACACTCTAGCTTTTGTCACTCTGCTGCCTGCTCACACACCTGGGTTCCTATGGCAACTCACTCTACAGCAAGGGCAGAGAAGAGCGGTTAAAAACAAACTGCTCCAACTTGCTCACTTCACTGGCGGTTGCCATATTCAAACGATTGTAGTTTAAAAATGATAAATCCTACACCGAAGAGCTTTATATTGTGAGAATTACAAGACCCAGACCTACATTTTGATGCATAGTATGTCTCTGAAATATTAAAAATGAAGGGCACAGTTGCAGTTTAGAAATTTGCCCTTCAAATTTGAGGTGGCTAGAGTGGAGTTTCAGTGAATGTCAATGGGAGGCGTGAGTTGCAAACAAATGGTCATATTGTGAAAACTATGAGGACTATGGCTTAGCCATGGATATTGTTAGTGGCAGCAGGGGTAGCTGAATGTTTTGATATAAGATTTGTGTAGGTGGGCTTGAAAATGAGGGAGTGATGGCAGTTTTGAAATCATGTCCTGATTTTTCAGCTCACACTCTAGCTTTTGTCAGCTCCCACTCTAGTTTTGAACATTCCACCATTCATTCCTATGGGACCAATTGCACCACAAAAATGCCGATATTTCGTGAACCATTCGGCGAAACGTTCCACAAAGTAATAGCACGCCAATCGGGAACAATCCGCACGTTTCGGTATATTACTGTCTATGTAGTGTAAAAACTGTGGGAGGAGTTAGGGTGGTAAATTTGGCTATAATAATAAGAATATATATGTGAGATAACAGTAAGTGGTCTTGCCATGCAAGAACACTTAATAAGATCATGTACATACTGATGTAAGGATTCCTCCAATTGGGAGGTTTTTGGCATATGCAGGTCAGAGTAAAAACGGACTAACTCTCGTAGTAGCATATTGTGTGAGTTGCACGTCACAGAAACTGCTTTCTCCCAGTGCCAAACTATTTTTCACAGCCCAGTACTTGTGCTTATTTTTCTACATGTAAATTTTCTTAACACTGATTAATATTGTACTATTATTGATATTACTGCAAATTTTTTTTACCATATTTGGCTATTATAAATAAGGGGACAGAACTATTAAAGGCATCAAAGAGATGCTATTATTGAAAGATGCATTGAGAGGCAGACCTCTGTTTGTTATAAGAAAGAAAAGATGCAAATCACAATTTGGAAATAGCACATTAAAACCCAGCATTTACTGCTTTTCTCTCTAGAATAAAGATTTGGCTCCCGCATTAGTGGTCACTCCTCAGACTGCAAATATCGTCTTTGATGATGTCTACTTTGAATATTTGGAGGGACAGAAAGTCCTAACTGGTGTGTCTTTTGAAGTTCCTGCTGGAAAGAAAATAGCAATTGTTGGTGGCAGTGGCTCAGGGTAAGAAGCTAACATTTGTTTTTTAGGTTTTAGATTTTAAGGTCTGTGATTTAAAATAGGTCTTAGGTTTCTTTAATTGATAATTGTTAATTCTGAGATAATGTCAGGTACCACACTCCCATTACCCTACCCTTTCCAGTCCATTAACGTCCGGATAAAAGAAGGTATGCCAAACTTGCCTTGTCTCTGAAAACCCACTTCTCTTGGATCCCACTGCAGCTTTCAAATAACAAAACACTCAGGTGTTGGTGCAGATTTTGCAGCAATCTTCTAATTCTTGCTTTTCTAGCTAGTGATTCGCTCTTTTAGAGCAAGCATACAGCTAGTGTAGTCTGAACTCCTTCTCTGCACACGTTTCTGGTTGATTACCAGATACTAAGACCCTGATGAGGATAATAGCCTCTCCACTGCTTGAACCTTTAAAGAGAAGTTAGCAGTCACATCCCTATATTTCTGTGCTGACCTGATACATTCTTATTCTTAAAATCTGTCACATGTTGTGAAAACACCTCCCTTTTCATTGTAAAATCTTTTCAATTGTTTTCAAGCAAGAGTACCCTGATCCGACTTCTGTTCCGGTTTTATGAGCCTCAGAAGGGAAACATATATGTGGCTGGTCAGAACATTCAGGATGTCAGTCTGGAAAGTCTGAGAAAAGCCATTGGAGTTGTTCCCCAGGTATGATTTATGTCATAGACAAAATTTGCATAAAAGAATGAAAGAGCCAAACGTTCATACCTTTTTGGTGAGGAGGCAGTCCTGCATCTTTTGGCTCACTTAAAACAATGGTAGTTGAAAAAATGCATAATTTATATAGGTAACTGGTATTTTGCAAAAGTATAAACATGTACATGTAGCTCTATATAGCACAAAGTTTGATTCCAGAACTCTAGAATGAGGCCGGTGCAATATTAGCATTTTCTTGCAGAGGCAGGTGTATACTCTGTCTGTAGTTATATGTGAGTGCGTTTACCATTTGCTCCACTGCAAAGACAACTTATACAGTTAGGTCCATAAAGTTCTGTTTTCATACTTTTGGCTCTGTATGCCACCAAAATAAATTAAAACAAAACAATCCAAATTAATCTGAAGTGCAGACTTTCAGCTTTAATTCAAGGGGTTGAACATAAATATTAAGTACTAATTTTAGAAACTGCAACCATTTTTATATGTAATTGGATAAATGAATATAATCATAAATAAAATTTTCATTTTTAATACTTTGTTGAGAATCCTTTACTGTCAATGACTGCCTGAAGTCTGGAACCCATGGACATTACCAAAGACTGTGTTTCCTCCTTTCTGATGTTTTGTCATGCTGTAACTGCAGCTGTCTTCAAATTGATTGAATACTTGTGAGCCACTAGAAGTTTTCTTACTTTTAGAGCAATTGATTCCGTGTGTGTAAAAATAATAATAACAATAATAATGAATAAGTGAACTACTAATTAATTAATTACGTGCTTAACTAGACTTTAGATCGCCAGGTACTTATTACACCCTCTCCAGGTGTATGGATGTGAGCTTATATATCAATATTGTACCGCGCTCCAATGTATACAACTATGAGTGCTATAATAAATTATAAATGGCTTAAGTGTATCACCAATAATTCAATAATATTCTAAATCCATAATACTAAAATCCATAATTGATATAAATATATAAATAAATTAAAAAAGAATAAATTAATATTTTTAAATAAGTGCAAAAACCTAATAAAAAGTGAAAATATGAAGTATGAAAAATAAAATAAAATGAAATGAAAAAATGAGAAAATGTGAGATGAAAAAATGAGAAAAAATTTTTTTAGAATGGGAATGACAGTTCAGTTCATACGAATTGAGATGGTGTTGTAGTTCAATCTAATCTGCGTGGTAGGTCAATGTTCATGGCATAAACCTCTCTCTCCTTCCCTCCTCTCCTTTCTCCTCAATACAGCCTTCTCAATAAGGACTTTCTCCTCTAGCTGCTTGACTTAATCCTCCATAGCCGATACATACAGAGAAGGGAAAAAGAAACATAGTGTCTTATCCTGGGTAACAATTGTTTAATGAGCTTCTGATCTCCCACTCACATGGTATAAAATAAAAGTAGCGCTTTGTATAAAATATATCCAAATCCTCCTACAAACAGCCTTGCAGGTGTGTGTGTCTTCACTCGATATACTCGCCGTTCCTCAGTGGATGCGTGATGACGTCACCGCCCCTCCCCTACGCGTTACGCTACAGGGACTCGTAGCTTCCTCTGGGGGATGTAGTTTTACATGTCATCCTGCACTGAGGTTATATATATCCTACCGGCGCCATTTTTGCTGTGATATATACGTTATAAATACCCCCTCCATATTTTAGGAGTCCAAATTATATCTTGATGTTAATGTTATATATATATAATAGTGTTAACATCAAGATATAATTTGGACTCCTAAAATATGGAGGGGGTATTTATAACGTATATATTAGATTAGATTGAACTACAACACCATCTCAATTCGTATGAACTGAACTGTCATTCCCATTCTAAAAAATTTTTTCTCATTTTTTCATCTCACATTTTCTCATTTTTTCATTTCATTTTATTTTATTTTTCATACTTCATATTTTCACTTTTTATTAGGTTTTTGCACTTATTTAAAAATATTAATTTATTCTTTTTTAATTTATATATTTATATCAATTATGGATTTTAGTATTATGGATTTAGAATATTATTGAATTATTGGTGATACACTTAAGCCATTTATAATTTATTATAGCACTCATAGTTGTATACATTGGAGCGCGGTACAATATTGATATTGCAGCTGTCTTCAGTTATTCTTTGTTTGTGGGTCTTTCTGCCTTTAGTTTTGCCTTCAGCAGGTGAAATGCATGCTCAATTGGGTCGAGATCAGGTGATTGCAGACCATTGCAGAATAAATATTCCACTCTTTTCCTTTAAAAGCTCTGCATTTGCAGTGTGTTTTTGCAGTGTGTTTTGGATCATTGTCCATCTGTACTGTGAAGCCCCGTCCAATCAACTTTGCTACATTTGGCTGAATCTGGGCTGACCGTATATCTCTAAACACTGCAGAATTCATCTGGCAGCTTCTGTTACATCATCAATAAACACCAATGACCCAGTGCCACTGGAAGCCATGCATGCCCATGCCATCACACTGCCTCCACCATGTTTTGCAGATGACGTTGTGTGCTTTGGATCATGAGCTGTTCCAAGCCGTCTCCACACTTTTTTCTTCCCATCATTCTGGTACAGATTAATCTTAGATTCATCCGTCCAAAGAATGCTTTTCCAGAACTGGTCTGGCTTTTTTAGATGTTTTTTGGCAAAGTTTAATCTGGCTTTTCTATTCTTCAGGCTTATGAATGGTTTGCACCTTGTGGTGAACCCTCTGTATTTGCTCTCGTGAAGTCTTCTCTTGATTGTAGACTTTGACAATGATATGCTCACCTCCTGGAGAGTGTCCTTCACTTGTCTGGATGTTGTTAATGGATTTTTCTTTACCATAGAGAGGATCCTGTGATCATCTACCACTGTTGTCTTCCATGGACATCCATGCTTTTTTATGTTACTGAGCTCACCAGTGCATTTTTCTTTCCTCTGAAGGTACCAAACTGTTGATTTGGCCACTCCTAATGTTGCTGCTGTCTCTCTGATGGATTTCTTTAGTTTAAGCCTTACAATGGCCTGTTTCACTTCCATGGAGAGCTCCTTTTAATGCATGATGTAGGTTCACAATAGATTTCCAAATGCAAATACCACACTTAGAACCAACTCCAGACCTTTTAACCTGCTTAATTGATGAAGAAATAACGAAGGAGTAGCCCACACCTGGCCATGAAACCGCTTTTGATTCAATTGTCTAATTACTTTTGGTCCCTTGAAAAAGGGGGGATGGCTAATCTTAAGAGCTGTAATTCCTAAACCCAATTCTCCAATTTGGATGTACATACCCTCAAATTAAACCTGAGAGTGTGCACTTTCAGCCCATATCCAATTATATAACTATAGCTTGAATATGTTTTGGTAAATACCTGAAAAAATCTAAAATTGTGCCTGTGTCCAAATATATATGGACCTAACTGTATGTATTCTCAGAGTGGGGAAAGGTGAGAATCTTTGGCAGGTTTTTATTGTCATCTGTGGCCTCTGTGTGGGTATTTCCCCTCACTGTTACAGGTTGTCTTCGGAACAGAACTAGTGGGCAGCACAGTGGCTAAATGGTTAGCACTTCCGCCTGGCAGTACTAGGGTCGTCGGTTCGAATCCCAACCACGGCACCACCTGCCTGGAGTTTGCATGTTCTTCCTGTGCCTGCGTGGGTTTCCTCTGGGTACTCCGGTTTCCTCCCACACTCCAAAGACATGCTGGTAGGTGAATTGGATCCTGTCTAAATTGGCCCTAGTATGTGTATGTATGAATGTGAGTTAAGGACCTTAGATTGTACACCCTTTGAGGGTTAGGGACTGATGTGAATGTACAATATATATGTAAAGCGCTGCGTAAATGGACGGTGCTATGTAAGTACCCGAAATAAATAATAAATAGTGGTTATCTCTCCAATGTGAACACTGACCGCAATATAAGGGCTCATGCACACCGGGCTTTTTGAAAACTCTCCTAAAAGCTTTTCCTCCTGGCAGCAGTGTTTTTGCAGAGAAAATGCCTGACACTTGTAAAGTATCTAACACTTTTAAAAATGTTAGGCGCATTTACAGGCGTCAAGTGCTTAAGCGCTAATTTATTAATTTATGCAGGCCATTGAAATTAATGCACAAGCGGTAAATGTGCCTAGCGTTAACAAGCGTTTAGACGCATTTACACGTGTCAAGTTTTTTTTTTTCTGACAAAAACACTGCTGCTCCTGGATGCACTGGCAGTGGGGTTCTTTTTCATGCCATTATATGTTGCTGCAATTCTATGTGTGCATGGACACATAGGCTAACATGGTGGAGCGTTTAGAAGCAGTGAAGGAAAAAACCTGCTGAAGCCCCTAAATGTGGCAGTAGAAAATGTCCTGTGTGCATGAGGCCTAAACATAATGGACCCCATACTCCCTGAGACAAAAATAATACAGTGCCTTGAAAAGTATTCATACCCCTTGATATTTTCCACATTTTGTCATGTTACGACCAAAAACGTAAATGTATTTTATTGTGATTTTATGTGATAGACCAACACAAGGTGGCACATAATTGTGAAATGGAAGGAAAATGATAATTGGTTTTCAAAATTTTTTACAAATCTGAAAAGTGTGGCATGCATTTGTATTCAGCCCCCTTTACTCTGATACCCCTAACTAAAATCTAGTGCAACTAATTGCATTCAGAAGTCGCCTAATTAGTAAAGAGAGAGTCCACCTGTGTGTAATTTAATCTCAGTATAAATACAGCTGTTCTGTGAAGCCCTCAGAGGTTTGTTAGAGAACATTAGTGAATAAACAGCATTACAAAGGCCAAGGAACACACCAGACAGGTCAGGGATAAAGTTGTGGAGATTGATAAAGCCTGATAAGGTTTATAAAAAAAATATCCCAAGCTTTGAACATCTCATGGAGCACTGTTCAATCCATCATCCTAAAATGGAAAGAGTACTGCAAACCTACAAAGTCATGGCTGTCCCCCTAAATTGGTAAGCAGGGCAAGGAGAGCATTAATCAGAGAACAAGCCAAGAGGCCCATGCAGAGATCCACAGCTCAGGTGGGAGAATCTGTCCACAGGACAACTATTATTCATGCTTTCCATACATCTGGCCTTTATGGAAGAGTGGCAAGAAGAAAGCCATTGTTGAAAGAAAGCCATAAAAAGTCCTGTTTGCAGTTTGCAAGAAGCCATGTGGGGGACACAGAAAACATGGAAGAAGGTGCTCTGGTCAGATGAGACCAAAATTTAACTTTTTGGCCTAAAAGCAAAACACTGTGGCGGAAAACTAACTGCACATCACCATTCCCACTGTATAAAATGGTGGTGGCAGCATCATGTTGTGGGGATGTTTTTTTCAGCATGGACAGGGAAGCTGGTCAGAGTTGATGGGAAGATAGATGGAGCCATATACAGAGCAATCTTAGAATAAAACCTGTTTGAGTCTGCAAAAGACTTGAGACAGGGATGGAGGTTCATCTTCCAGAAGGATAACGACCCTAAACATGCAGCCAGAGCTACAATGGAATAGTTTAGATCAGGAGTGGACTGCTGTGGCCCTCCAGCTGTTGTAGAACTACAAGTCCCATGAGGCATTGCAGAACTGAGTTACAAGCATGACTCCCAAAGGCAGAGGTATGATGGGACTTGTAGTTCACCAACAGCTGGAGGGCCACAGTTGCCCACCCCTGGTTTTGATCAAACCATATTCATGTTAGAATGGCCCAGTCAAAGTCCAGACCTAAATCCAATTGCGAATCTGTGGCGAGACGTGAAAATTGCTGTTCAGAGGAGCTTTCCATCCAATCTGACAGAGCTTGAGCTATTTTGCCAAGAAGAATGGGCAAAAATGTCACTCTCTAAATGTGCAAAGCTGGTAGAGACATCCCCAAAAGGACTTGTAGCTGTAATTGCAGCGAAAGGTGGTTCTGCAAAGTATTGACTCAGGGGGGCTGAATACAAATGCACGCCACACTTTTCAGATATTTATTTGTAAAAGATTTTGAAAAACATTTATCATTTTCCTTTCACTTCACAATTATGTGTCACTTTGTGTTGGTCTATCACCTAAAATCACAATAAAATATATTTACGTTTTTGGTTGTACCATGACAAAATGTGGAAAATATCCTGGGGTATGAATACTTTTTCAAGGCACTGTATAGCAGCTGGAGTTTTATTTTTGACCAAAGCTATAAAAAAGATATTACTGTTAATATTTTACATTTATTTCCCTATAGGATGCTGTACTTTTCCATAACACACTTTATTATAACTTGATGTATGGTGATATTAATGCCTCACCAGAAGAAGTGTATGAAGTAGCTAAGTTAGCAGGACTACACGATGCTATTCTCCGGATGCCTCATGATTACAATACTCAAGTAGGAGAACGAGGGCTCAAGCTGTCAGGTAATGTCCATACTAAAAAACGTATTCATACATGATTATCACTGGTTAGCGAAAAGGTTAAAAAAAAGCTATGTAAATAATTAAGAGGCCAGTAATATTTTGATGTTTTTTGCTGGAAGTGTCAGATAAAGGCTGATTGTTTAGTAAACGAAAATTAAGATTTGTTCTTTTTTTTTTTTTTTGTTTTATGGTTACAATAGCTTAGATAAGAGAACCCTTCAATAAACTCTTTGGTGTTAAGTGACTTTCGTGTGTAATTAAATTCTGTGTCTCGAGTCACAGAGGGCTTTTGAGTAGCACAGTAAAAGATTTGATGTGGTTGTTACTGGGCACACTGCCCACTTGGTGGCTTGAATACTATTTTGTATCAAAAGCTAAAGAATCCATTGCTGTTTTGCATTGCCTCACACTGTTGAGGCCTAGATGTGGGATTAGCTGTTTATTCATGATTCATAAAAGCATTTGTTTGATTTTGATGAGTTACTATTTTCTGTAACTGGGTTTAAGTAAGCTACTTGCTTGTGCCCTGGATATTTTATAGTTTCAGATCATCTTCTAGGGTGGGCTGTAATATTCATTTTGTTCAACTTTGGGCTTGCTTGTAAAATTCGGTCAACATGAACTTTACATTTAAAGCACTCTTAAGTCTAAAATGCAAGTTTTAATATTTAGGTAGATGTGGTATCAGTAGCATTCAGAATTGTTTTGTAAACTTCCTTGTACAATGTCTGAGATATTTTCATTTACTTTAAAGCTACATTTGCCCTATTTTGATTCTTGATTGGCTGTCCTAAGATTATATAATCGCATGCATACATGCAGCAGTCAATTCATTCCAGCGCTTAATGCATGCCAATATTTTACACTGAGGTGCACATGCACAGTGGTAGGTTACCTATTCAGGGCCTTTGCACCCTCTCATCTGATGGTTGCCCATGGTCTGACTCCCTGCCTTTCATAGGGCCATTCTGCTGGGCTTTCTATCTAAAGTAGATTTTTCTGTAAAACGTCAAATTTCATGGATAGATTTTATCAAGGCTGTAGGCAGTAGGGGTCACAGCCATGTTCCTTCAATCTCTCCTCCTAAATTGGTCTTTAATTCTGCTCCTGAGCTAAACACATTATGTGAGGAGGAGATAGCAGTTGAGAATTATCCCTCTTCGAAGGAACTGGAATAGCATGACATGACTGTAACAGATATTAAACAGAGTCTGCTCACCCCAAGTTATCCAGTATGGGAATCACTTAAATTACCTAAACCAGTCAAGATTTTCCCTGTCCACTTGCAGGTAAAACCTATCTGGTCTGGGCTTTGCCCAACAATATCCCATTGAGAAATGTTTCCTGCATAAGTGGGATCCACCACTTCATGTGGTGGATCCTTCCATATCTTGCCTATACAAAACCCTTGCAGCCCCTTGGAGGATAAAGACCAGTAGACAAGAGATTAGATGCCATCTTTATAGCTCTGTTTTCTTTGGTGGACCCTGCCATGCAATCGCTGGTTGCTTCTATGGCACTGTGTCAGACCATTTTTCTCTGGACTAAGCGTATAGCCCAAAATGTTAGCCTCATTCTTATGGCTGCCTCTGTAGACCTTTTACTTATGCTACTGTGTAAATGACTTGGCAGACACATTTTATCAAACCTAAATCCTCATGCACATGATTCTTTTGCTTGAATGCTAGTCATCAGCACTCCCATGCAGGAAACACCTTGAGTGAATACAGTTTGAATGGGGGGACACCCTTTGGGGGTTTATTTCCCGTTTCACCTTTGGATAAATGCATGAAGGGGATCACCTGTAGTAAGAAAACTGTCCTTCCTCAGAAAAAGGGGGCTTGTGCCTCTACCTGTAGGGTCTCTACTACTAAGGTTAGGAAGGGCTCCTTTACACCCCCTAGTCCTCCAATGCCTAGATAGATACTTAACTTTGTCAGAAGGCATGGCCCTCTAAACCAGCCAAGACTGGCTCAGAGACCTCTTTCCAGTGATGGTATGCCTCCTCCACATCTGTTGGCCCTCTGGTACCAAAAAAGAAATCTCAGATGCCAGAGTTTCGTTTTCAGTGGATACAAACTTGAGTTTTTTACGCTGCCACTTTCTTTGTTTATGCTGTCAAACCTGTCTTCTTCCCCATCTTGGCAGGTGGATTTGCTTGATGCTGTCCAGCAACTCTTGGCCTTACCACTGTACCATCAAAAGAATGCCTTCAAGGTTTCTTTCAGTCTTTTTTACAGTTGCCATACTGAACAGAGGCATTAGGCCCATACTGGACCTGTAGACTCAATTTGCTCTAAAGGTTTAAAAATTTCTGCATGTAAACAGCCAGGTCGGTCATAACCTCTCTCTTTTTTGTGGCCTCTATAGGCATCTTGGATGCTTACTTACACATTTCTAGCCTTCTGTCTCATAAACACTATTTGTGCTTTGCCGTGGGATGCTTAGCATTACCAATTTGTTGCCCTTCCCTTTGGCCTGTCCGCGGCTCCCCAGTTTTTACCAAGGTGCTTACCCCAATTTTGGCTCTGTTCCATGCTTAGGAGATTAATGTTGTGGGGTACCTTAATAATATTCTGTTGAAGGACCAGTCCTCCCTGTCCCTGTTAGCCAACATCCAGCAGATAGTGTAGACTCCACAGAGCTTTGGTTGGATCCCTAGTCTGAGAAAGTCATCACTGGACCCATCTCACAGGATGCCTAGGATCTTTCTGTATGAATAGAGTAGCAAATACAGGGGTGAACTGGGAGAGGCAGAGGCATTGCATTGATAGGTCACTACAGGAGATTACAAGCTCACTGGATTTCAGGCTGAAAATTAGAAAACTAATGCAACAACCATATTTAAGGATTGCAATATATTAAATTTTTGGATTTGGCTTTAGATACGCTTTAAATGCATACATGGTAAATAATGCGGAAGTGTAACATTTACAGGTGGTTACTTACATCTCACAGAAGTCACAGTACTCCCACTGAAAATGTCATCATCCAGAGTCAGTATTTATTTCTTGGATTGAAACACTGGTTTAGAAATGCCACTGTCACGTAAATCCAGATGCCTGTGCAGTTCATGGCTGTTTTTGCAAATGTCTGACACAGCTCAACCCTTTGAAAATTGGTACTGTTCTGTATACTGTGACGTGTTGGGAATTTATGCTGACTTCGATTTAGTTAAATATCTACTTTGTTATAGTTAGTTTAGCACTTTATTGATTTGTAATTTTTCTTGTTAAGGTGGAGAAAAGCAACGAGTGGCAATTGCCAGAGCAATGTTGAAGAACCCTCCTATTATTTTGTATGATGAAGCCACTTCTTCCTTGGACTCCATTACTGAGGAGGTAAGTTCATATATTTTAAGACTCTCTGTTGGAGACAAGCATATGTACAAAGGAGCAACAAGAACAGGCAGAACTCACCTGCTAGGAACATAATGCTTTTAATATGGACCTAGATTGTGGTAGTCATCCAGCGGTGTATTGACTAATCACTGATGTTGCCCAATGGCTCTCTGCAGCTGATCTTATTCTCATGGCCAGCATGCCATTCCGGATTATATTTTGCTGTGGAGAAAGCAATCAGAGCAGGGCTGTGCTTTCTCATGTAAAATCCATCCTCCTAATGTGGTGAAGAAAGCACATACCCACTCACACTGCCAGCTCTGATAGGCAAGGCTGGGGTAATATTTGCAGGACATTGCAAAGGGGCCACGGATCCACAGTCAGCAGCTGTCAAGAATAGGGAACCATCAAGAAGTCACAGAAGGGGAAGAAGGCACTGGTACAGATACAGAAGCACCACAGGAGGAAAAGGGGATCAGAAGGAAGTGGGAACAGTGTGGAAGAGTGGTTTCTGCTTCATACTTGGATCAAGATGCACAATTGAAGAGCAAGAAAACCTTTGACTGTAAATCCTAAGGTACAGCATCCTTCCTATCACAGAACTATGAGCAGCCTCAATGTGGCATCACCAAATGTCATTACATTGCAAAGGAAGAAGCAACAATTCTCCAGAGGCAGGAGTGGGCAGAATCGACCTTCGATTATCTCACAGTGCAGGTTTGTAGCTATGAAACTGCAGGAACATTAATGTCTAGGCAGTGTTACACGTCAGAAAGTGTGCAGCAACTGTCCATGAAGAACTCATAGCAACAGAGATTTTTCGGGGTACTGCTTAGCCACTACTACACTTAATAACATTCCCTAGAAGACCGCAAATCTTTGACTTTTATTTTTTACTAAGCCTTAGAATTTGGCATCACGTTTTAAATTATGCATGTGGTTTAACTGACATGAGTTAGAAAAGAATGTCAACAGAAAAAAAATCTCCTGAGAACATCATCAGCGTCACTGTATTATTTGTTAAAAATGGTGCTCCTTGAAGTCATTAACCAATGACATTGTGTTGGAGTGTGAACCTGTTATGAAAATATTGCACAGGTAAAATAGAGATTTCATACAGTACAGGTCACTGTCTTCAGGTGATTGAACACTGGAAAAAAAAAAAGCTGCATTGGTGTGTACCTTGGCACATGGTACATCACGTTGAGTTAACTCTGGGCTTGACAATATGATTTGAATCCAGGAGCCAGCTAAAACATTTAGAAGCCATTTTTTTTGTTCTATTAGGAAGTGTTTACACACTGAAGTCTATGGGGCGCAATTTCCCATTAAAGTCTATGGGGCTCAATGTGTGAACCCAGGCGCCAGGATGCAATTTCTAGTCACCATGGTGACCTGGTGCCTGGGATTTGTCTAGCCCTGAGTTAACTATAGACTGTTATACAGGTCCAGAGCCCTGTCCTGGAAGACCCCTTCAAGGGTATGCCCATCATGGTGGGTGAAGCCAGGATAGGATTTGGCTCCCTAAATCCTCTGCCCAGAGGTGAAGACATCTCCCCTGATAAGTAGAAGGTTTTGCACAATTAAAATCTGTCCCAGAGTGCTAGCACACCTATGCTTTAGTTTGCCAAGGAGCCCTGGTGTGTCAGCCATGGAATGGATGCCTTGGCCATTTAAATTTGCAGCCATTTTCCCAGTCTTCTGTTTTAAGCCTGTACCTGCATGACCTCTTCAGTGGCTTCTCTGTACATGTGTTTTGGGGTTTTTTTTGTGTTTTTTTTCTTCTTCTTTATGGCATGCATCTTACACCCAGTACATGTCTTCCTGGCTTGCACGATACATCGCAGCAATTTTTGGATGTTTTTTCAGCAGTCTATAGTGCATAGCAAAGAAGCTTCATTCTTCACTCTTCACAGCAGCAAAGGTCTTGTGTACCTGTTTTTGAGGATAGTTTGCACTGCACGTGGCAGATCACAATGGTGAGGTGTCAGATAGTGTGGCTAGCTCAGACCTGGCTCATGGCTTTGGGGGTCTGATAGTCTCTTTTCACAGGGCCCCCAGTACCCTCTTTTTAGACAGTTGCCCTCAGTCTGACCCTCTTACTTTTTTCTGGGCACTCTGCTGGCCCTTTGGCTTCACAGCCTTCTTCCTGTCTATTTAGGGAGGAGTTTTCTCCTACCATGTCTGATTTCATGGGCAGGATCTCGGACCTTTGGAGGATGCAAATAGCAGGGTTCATTTGTTGGTTGGCCTTTTGACTATGCTTTTGCTGATACAGTATTCAACCTGATGGGGATGTAAACAAGGAAGATCACCCTTTTCCTTCTGTGAAATCGGATCAGAATGAGACACCTTGGCAGAGATTTCAACCAAGCTTAAGGATACGATTGCTCCCCCTGATTGACACTCTTGTATAGCACCCTGAGTTTGTACATCCTAAGGCTTTAAGCTTGGGGACCTTTACAATTGACCAAACCTGCTAAGACCATCCTAGCCTTCTTACTCTTAGAACTTGTCTTGCATAATCAATGCCCCTCCCCAAAAAAAACACCTTGCTGATACAAAATATTTGATCAGCAATTTCCTATTAATAGATTTCCAGGATAAGCCTCCTCTCTTACCATTTGCAGAGAATCCTTTAGATCAGATGCTGGTCTGCAAAACTCTCATGCAAGAAATACATAAAGTGGCCATCCTTTGGGGGAGAAGGTTTGTTTGGCCTCTCCTTGGGTAAAGTACGTAAAGGAGATCATGGAGGGTAAAAGTACCCTACTCCCTGAGAAAGAGCTCAAACTGCAGCAGATAGACCTACTTCTGGGAGTATGAAAATTTCCTTTCCTCCTCCTCCTCAGGTTTCCATGTCCAAGTTTATGCCTGGAACACACTTACAGTAGATGTGGTCGCTCAATCCTGCCAAATCTGTCTCAAAGTTCACTTTTCAAACTATCCTTCATCCAGTCTGGTTTAGATCAACGTCTGGCCTTGACAACAATCAAAGAGAAAATCTTGGCCTCCGCCTTTCTGTTTCAGAAACGTTTGGTCTTTCATTTCTTAGTTAAGGCCTTTGTGGAGGGAATCGCACACATTTCTCCCGCCATATGTTCCCCCAAGACAAGACTCAGTGGTAACCCAAGTTGGTTCTTTCAACCCTTCAGTGCCTGTCCTTCAACCTATTAGGGATATTCCATTATCTGACCTTAGTCGCAAGGTGGCCTTTCTTGGTGCTATCGACTTTCCATAGAGGTTCTCTGAGTTAGTGGCTTTATGGGAAAAACAGGTTTAAGGATACTGAAAACCTCCCTCAATTACCACTCCACCCGGAGCGCAGACCTGGAAGCAGCCGATGCCCCCAAAATCAATGTGGAAAGCAGGAAAGGTCAGCACTCAGGATAATATCCAATTGTAAACCTCTTTATTTTTAACACCTTGTACAAAGCTAAAAATAGCCAGTGCTTTATGCTGCTATAAAAAGACCTTTCCCAGTACTACTCAAGGGGGTTTCCTCTTCTCACTTCAATCAGGACATTATCCTTCCCTCCTTATGTCCTGCTTCAAAACATCTCAAGTAAGTATCTCTGCACTGTCTTGACATGGTATTGGCTGTGAAAGTCGATTTCTCGGTTACGACCTCTTTTTAGGAAATTTGGATTACCTCTTTGTGCTTCACAAGGGTTCCTGCAGGCTGCTCCCTGCATCACCATTTCAATTGCTCGGTGGAATAGACAAGTTGTCATTCAAGCTAGTAGTCTAAAGGATAAGGTTCCTCACTTCCCTGTTAAGGCACACGCTAGCAGATGTGTTAGTGCTTCATGGGCTTTTCAGTATCAAACATCTGTTTCCCAGATTTGCAAGGCTGCCACTTGGTCTTCTATTCACACATTTAATTTTTACCATGTGGATGTCCAGGTCTTCTCTGATGCCAGCTTTGGCCATAAGATGCAACAGGCTGGGCTTTGTCAAGCCCTTTGTAACCAATTTGTTACATGGGCCTGTTGGCATTTGCTGTATTGTCCTGCCCCCACCCCTGTCCTAGTTTGCCCAGGCTTTTGGACATCCCATTGTTAAATACTAAAAATCCTGTGTTCCATGGTGACGGCATCTACTTGCATTTTATAACATCAGTATTGTAATAGCAATACGAACAATAGTTATTTTTGACAAACCAATACAGGCTTACCTGAAAACTTTCATGTTGTAAGTGCTGCCTGTCTATTGGCCACCTATTTCCACAACTTTCTGGATTCCCTGCATGCTTTGCAGTTTCTCCTTTTGCGATTTACTTTCATATTCTAAGAACTACATATCCCATGGTACCGTTTTTTACCTGCAAGCTGTGGTTTCTGAAACTGCTCCTTTCAACACCTCTATAGTTCAGAAAACATGTTCTATGAAATGTGTGACCTACCTATTCACAGGGCATAGTGAATACATGTCACAAAATTTAAGGAAGTAAGTACATGGAGATCTTCATAAAGCAAGTTTACAAATTCAAGTTTGTTCAGATTAATTAAAGTAGGCTAGAAATATTTGTTTCTAAATGTTGACTATATAGATACACTTTAACCGTAAAAATTTTTTTTTTTTTGGAGTACAGTACAGAAAAAAAAGTCCCTACCCTCTGTTCTTTATAGTCTCCCTATTGCTTGCTAAAAACTGAGGCTAGCGGAGAATATGAGTTATAGGGGATATCCCTGCAGCTTTTTTTTTTTTTTTTCCACCTGAAGGTCGCTTCAAAAAAATCACTTGTTAAAGACTACTGTAAGAAACAGACTTTACTGAAAGTCTAAAAATCCTTTTCTTTGTTATTAGTAACAAGAATTCTTCCACTTTTTACCTGCACTAGAAAATCTCCTGATCTCCTTGTACTTAAGGCCCCGTTCACATCTAGCAGTTTGGAATTGCGGTGATTCCAAATTATACTGCAATGCTGGCAAAACACAGTACATGATTGTGTGCCCATAATTTTCAATGGCACCTAAAACATGGTGGGGTTTTGCTGT